TTCTTGCAGATTTCCATGCAAGAAGGCAGATTTCACATCAAGCTGATAGATCGGCCATGAGTTTTGTGCTGCCAATGCAATCACCAATCTGATGGTATCCATCCTTGCAACTGGAGCAAAAACTTCTTGATAATCAATGCCAAACTCTTGCTTGTAACCCTTTGCCACCAAGCGAGCTTTGAATTTGTCAACCGTCCCATTCTCTTTGAGCTTTGTCTTGTAGATCCACTTAACACCAATTGTTTTGTGCCCTTTTGAAAGATCTGTCAACTCCCAAGTTTGGTTCCTTTCAATAGAACCAATTTCTTCTGCCATGGCCTTTTGCCACTTTTCTTCTTTAACAGCTTCTTCATATGTTAAGGGATCACAATCTACAAATAAAGCAAAATGATTAACTGGAACATTATCTTGAGATAGATCTGTTACCTCATAATCTTCCAACCATACTGGTCTTCTCTTTTTGCGTTGAGGTCTAGAACTAGTTCCAAATTCCAATTCTGGTGTTGTTAGCAGACTTCCTCCAGTACTGAACTCTACTTCTGTAGGCAGAATTTCTTCAGCCGTCTGTCTTGAAACCTCGAGATCTACTAAAGTTTGACCTTCTGAGTTCTGCACAGTCAGATCTTCTCCATTTTCGAAATCTGCAGGAATCTATTGCCCAGATTTTTCTGTCCAAGACCAAGTGCTTGCTTCATCAAACACTACATCACGGCTAATGATGACCTTCTTGGTTAAAGGATTGTATAATCTGTAAGCTTTGGACTGATCACTAACACCAAGGAAAATACACTTTTCCCCTTTGTCATCAAGCTTACTCCTTTTCTAATCTGGCACATGTGCATATGCTATGCATCCAAAAATTCTGAAGTAATCAACAGAAGGTCTACATCCACTCCAAGCCTCTTCTGGCATCAAATCTGGAAGTGGAGATGTGGGACTTCTATTCAAGATATGAACACTCCAATTAATAGCTTCTGGCCAAAACTCCTTAGGCAAGTCGCTCTTTGACATCAGACTTCGCACCATATTCATGATTGTGCGATTCCTCCTCTCACATACACCATTCTGCTGAGGTGTATAGGCTGCTGTGAGTTGCCTTTTAATGCCATTGGACTCACAAAAATCTGCAAATTCCTTTGAATTAAACTCACCACCACGATCTGTCCGTAGAACCTTTACAGATCTACCAACCTCATTCTCAGCCAAGACTTTAAAATTTTTAAAGGCTGCTAAGGCTTTTGACTTGGTCTGCAAAAAATACACCCATGTTTTGCGACTGTAATCATCAACAAAGGTAATAAAGTATTGTTTACCTCCATTGGATGTTGGATTTATGGGTCCACACAGATCAGAATGAACTAGATCTAGCACTTGCTTTGCTCTCCAAGATCTGTCTTTAGGAAAGCTGTCACGGTGCTACTTACTGACCACGCAGATTTCACAAATTTTTGAAGGAGAATCAAAATGAGGAAGACCATTTACCATCTTCTTCTGCTGCAAAGCTTTCAACCCACCAAAATAAAGATGTCCAAATCGGCAATGCCATAACCAAGCTGTGTCCTTTAATCTAGCAGATAAACATGACAGATTTATGGTCTGCAAGTATAATGGAAACAACCTATTTCCCGTCATCTTGACCTTTGCAATCAGGCCAAGCTTTGAATCACGAATTTGGCAAACTCCATCTTTAATAAGGATTTCATATCCTTTTTCTTGAAGTTGTCCCAGACTAAGCAGATTCGACTTCAAATTTGGTACATACAGAACATTAGAAATAGTCTGAATTGAATTGTCTTTGGCACGAATGGTTACCTTTCCCTTTCCCTTGACTGCAATAGTGGAATTATCACCAAATTTCACCTTGTCTTGACAAGACTCATCCAAATCTGAAAACGTAGATTTGTCTCCACACATGTGATTGCTGCAACCAATATCCAAATACCACACATTCTTCTTGCTGACTTCTTTAGGATGACAGACCATGAATAGAGAGGAATCGTCATTCTTCTCATTGTGTTCTGCAAAATTGGAACTTTCTCCTCTATTCAGATTAGCATGGCACTTAGAACGATAATGGCCATACTTATGACATCTGAAGCATTCAATATTTGCCTTTCCTGCAGATTTGGATCTATTATCTGCAGCTTGATAATTTCTGTTCTGCCACCTCTTCTGAATTCCAGTGGCTGAACTTTCCTCCAATCTGTCAGATCTCGGTCTGCCAGATCTTGGTCTGCCTTTCCAGATTTCTTTTCCTCGATCTACAGCCCTTGAATTAACTGTGGTCTGCAAGGCTTGTGTCTGCGAAATCTGCACTGCTTGCTCTTGCTTGTCTTGGCGATTTATCTTCCGCTCATGAATTAACAATAAATTCTGCAACTCATCAAGGGAAAGGGCCTCAATATTATTTGACTCCTCAATTGAACAAACAACATAATTGAATTTTGTTGTCATAGACCGAAGGATTTTCTCAACTATAGCAACATCCTCCAGATT